ACACCTGAGAGTCCCCTTTAGGGCTGAAATTGAAGCTGACTGCACGACTCATATTTTTGCGACCACTGGAGCAGGTACAATGGTAGAAGTAGTTTGTTTTGGAATAGCCTCAGATTGAGTCGATTGAGACTTTTTGGATTTTATGGAGATAACAGGCGAAGGTGTGTCATCCACTTGCTTCTCTTCATGGGAAGAGTGTTTTTGCCTCTTTGGAGAGGGTCCAGAAGGGACAACAATATTGACTTCAGAAGCCTACAAATGGGTCGACATAATCAACGTGTTAGACATGGGATGTGGTCAGTTAAGAAACACCAAAATTAACAAATTACCTGAGAGGAAATTGCAGGAGCTTTTTCAGCAGAAGCAGAAACATCTGCACTACTAATATCCTCCCTAGCATGATTCTTGTGCTCAACTGCTAAATAAAACAAAAGCACAAGACAAATTTTAAAGGTCAAAACATGGAAAAGAGAGAAAGCAAATAAAGTGATCGACAATTAGTAGTAAGTTATACCTTTTCTAAATTGTTGATTCATAGATTCGAAAGCACTGGCAAATCGATGCTTGAAAGATTTGAGATTCCCATTTTTCTTTATGAACCTCACGGTCCACAAATAAAAAAACTCCTTCATTGTATATAAAAAAGGGGTTCGAAGGCGACGAGGTTCAGATTGGGGGCGTCAACAACAAAGTGTTGGAGGCGTTGGGCGCACTCTGCTTCATTGTAGCTTTGGGACGAAAGGCATATTTCGTCTGATGGCTTATAAAAGTTACGAGACAAAGGTTGGCACAAACCAAATTGCCTAGCCACCAGATTGGATTGGTAACACAAAAGTGTTACCCCATCATTAGCGCCCACCCTAGACGCTATAAGACTATAGGTTAGAAAAGCTTTCCAAATGGCTGTGGATTCAGGGACATGTGTTGGCTCAGAATGGGGAAATGATCGAGTAAACCATTCAGGACCACATTTCACACTGGGGTGAAAAGAGGTACACCTGAAGAAAAACTTCAAGTACATTTCAAGCGCCTCCTCTCGATTCAGGTCGTTGTTGGACAACGTCATTGCAACAAGACGAGGACCTTCAATGGCACAATAGGCAAAGAATGTATCATGTGCCTCTGAAAGTTTCAATTTAAGCTGATTGCCAAAGGTGGAATTTAGCCACAATTGCAGCAGCCAAAATGGCCCAATAAGTAGATAGCTGGCAGACGATGCAAGAGAAGTCATTTGGTCGATCCCCACACTGAGTGGTTCATAAAGCGATCCCAGGATGAGTTTGCTCAAGCAAGTGTTTCGACCCATGTGAAGGTGATGCACCAATGCAATAAAACGTTTGGCCACCTTCAGAGACCTGCTTCATCAGACACCGTGTCGACATCCTTAGCGTGAAAACGCTTCATATACTGATCAAAAGGAATAACGTCTTCATCAACTTCAATAGGGATGAAAGTTTCACATGTAGGGTGAAGGCCAGTGATAGCTGCAACATCGAATTAAGTGGGAGTCAACATACCAATTGTGAAAGGGAAAGTGTTCATGGAACTCTCCCAGAAGTGGAGGGCAGAAATCATCATATAGTTTCAATAACTAGGGCCAACCCTAGAAAGTTGAATCAAGTAAAAAATTCCTTGGGATTTCCAAACATCACCTTTAACTTTCTCTACCTTATTTAACCATGCATTGTAATCCTGGTTGATAGCAGGAGCGGAGCGAAATTTTTTTGAGGTCCTATAGATGTGGGGGAAATCTAAAGGATACTTTCGGGCGATGAGGGGCCTTGTGCTTCTATGAACATGGAAGCATTTTTTCCAGATCTTTTGGTGCCCTAATATCATTAGGGGTAGGTCCCATGGGAGTATACACAATTTTGTGTAGATAAATGGAAGCAACTGGTTAGAACGAAAAGTAGCAATGTTGCGTGCTAAGTTTGGCTCCAACACAAAAATTTGTCCATCAACAACAAAGAAATCAGGCATGGTGGAAAGTAGCTCAATTGGGTGAGGAGTGTTAATGTGTTTAACAACTTCGCTTGGAGACGCCATGGAAGATGAATGGAAGTTTTGAATAAAAACGAAGGTGGGTTTTTTTGTTGAGTTTGGAAGCTAGGAGATTAAGGATGCAAATAAAGCATAAAGAGAAAAATGAGGAATGAAAGAGGTATTTATACCATCAAAGAAACCAAACATTTGGGAAGAAAGTGGGAAAAACTATGACTACATGACCGACACGTGTCAAACAAATGACAAATGAGGTGAGGAAGTTGGTAAGTTGGAGGCCACGATTATCCTAGGAAGTTGAATCTAGAAAGTAGGCAAGTGACCATGTGATCGCTGATGTATCGTTTGAAGAACAAGATCGTGATTACAATGACGTCACTTCACACTAAGAGAAAAGGATTAAAATGTCCATTTTTGTTCTTTCAGTTAAAAAGGACATTTTGGGGGACAGTTTATTGCCTAGGATTTGATAAAGAGAAAAATTCAAACCAAAAGATTAAAAAGGTTCTTTTAAGAGCATTAAATTATAAGGAGTTGACTACATAAGCATGTCGACTATGGATGATCTCATAGGTAGTCGATCAAGGTTTCGTAAGTGTAGTCGACCAGAGAAGGGTTCATGGTGAATGGATGGGGCCCGAGAGAGGTAAGAAGCCCAAAAGGGTTAAAAGGCCCATAAGCGCCTAAACTGCAAAGGTGAAGCGTTATGGAGAGAAAACGTGAGTTTGATATCAAGAGTGACGAACGTGGGATCATGGAGGGGAGTTATGAAGAACACATGGCATGCAAGAAAACGAAGTCCATTTAAAAAGTAGTTATTTCTGTGTATTATGAATAAAGCACTTAGTGCACTTTGTAAAAGGTCAAACTTTCACGTTCCTGTACGCTAGTCACTCAGAGTAACCAAGCGAACGAGCGAAATGAGTCAGACAAAGGCAACATATGTTTGAACCAACCTATTTTCAATCTTTCTTTAATGTTATGTCATTACCTTTTACAATTTAAAACGCTTTTTGTCTTATTTACTTTGTCTTTTATCAAGTCGTTTGGCTCTCAGCCGAACAAACCTTTTTTAAAGCACTTTAACTACGCACACGAGCTGAAGCACTGTACTGAGATTCCCTAGTCGATCTCGTCACTAAATTTGTTTTAAAGAGACCAACGTTGTTTACCAAATTCAGAGCTAAACAATTTGTCATTAGATATTACAATATGAAAAATATGTTCATTAACTTTTCACAAGTGATAAATTAAAAGTAAACATTGTCATAAGTAAACATTGCGATGTTCTTTCAATTTTAATTAGTTGTCATGATCCCACACCATTAAGTACACTTTCACTCAACTATTTAACTTTATATCTATAAGCTACAACTTCACTTCACATATCAAAACTTAACTAATTATTATCATCATTCTTAGTTATTACTTAATTAATAATATAATTTATTATTGATATTCTTAATTATTTTACAATATTTTTTAAGAAAAATTATTACAAATAATAATAATTGTGTATTATATTTAAAATATATTTCAATGATTATTTATAAAATTAACATTTGTCTCAATTTTGTATTATGTCTAAAATTTATCTCAAAGTCTATATACTTAATGGAATTCCGTTCATATCCGTTTTAGTATTTTACACAAATTTGAGACAGAATTTCAAAAAAATAATAAAATAATTAAGAATTATGTTTTTTTTAAATCTATCTTAAATGTCTCTATAATTGAAATTTGTCTCAAATCCGATTCAATATATCACATGAAGAATAAAATTTTCAAAATATAGTAAAATAAACAACAATTATATAATTCGTCTCAAATATGTCTCAAAATCTCTAAGGGTTGAAATCCATCTAAAATCTTAAATCATTTAAGACGAAATTTATTTCGTCTCCAATTTCTATTTAAAAATGTCAATATTTTATTAGTATAATGACTACACGTAATAGATTCATCATGATATATACTTATATTAGTCTCCATCATATCTCTATATTTTATATTTGACTTTCATTATCCTATCTTTATAATAAGTTTCATTTCATTTATTTGATGTATTTTTAATTTCAAAATTTTATTAGAATATTACAATTATAAATTCTATAATTTTAAAATATTTATTTTAATATTGAAATTATACATTCTTAATGCATTATATTACAATAAACAAGAAGTTATCACAATCACACTAAAAACTCTATTGTAACACCACAACAAATACATCACAACACTACAGTTAGCCTACATCAAATCACATCAGCCCACATCAAATTATATATTTCTCAAAAAATTATTTGGTATGTTTCTTTCTATTTGTATCATAGATTTAAAGAATGTTTTAAAAGGATTAAAGATATATTTTAAAATGATAGCAAATTGTTAATGAAATATAGATAAAGTTTAAAGAGAAAATAGAAGACATATAAAACATAAAATAAAATATTTTATATTTATAAAAAAAAGTTTATGCCACAATGATTGCAATCCACATCGCAATATCTTGCATTGTCGTGCTTTATTAATTTTCATGTGAGCCAAGCATTTCAAATAATAGGTGATGAGACGTTGCTTTTGTAGTGATCTAGTCACAGGAGATATGAAGATAGTAGAGAACAAACCATAAAAATATGATTGAATTACATTTATGACAGCTACTACTAATCTATTTATACATAAAGTAAATTGTCACATAAATCCTAATAAAAAAGGAAATTTAATAACTAAACAAACTAATATATTTTTGGACGGTAACTTCAGAAACTTTTACTTCTAATTAATTATCTTAAAAACTCTACTACTTCTGAACATACTGCTTCGGAATAATACATCAGAAATTTATAATTCTAATCAACGGCTTATAAACTTAACAGCTCAAAACATTTTAAAGAATCTAAGTTCATTTTGATGCACATATATTGGGGAACTTTGAACTACATAGATGACGTGTGACATTTTTATACATGATCAACCATTTCACATAGACACACACATTAATGCATGAACTCAGTATCATTTCCCATGGCCTCCAAGATCTCATAAGGAAGACACGGTAAAACATCTATACTGCCTTCTTCCGCCCCAGCAAACACAGTAATCCTGCCATTTCTTTTATTCGCACCCCCGCATCCAACTCCCACACGCTTTCCCCAACCGAAATCATTACCATAAACATCAAACCTCGGAGAACTGCTTGTTGTCAATGTATAACAACGAGTCAAATCACTCCCACCTGTAAACATCTTTGCTTTTCTCAGCCAACACTCGTAACTATTTCTTATTTTCTCATCACCCGAATTTAGACAAATAGTCTTGTTCATCTCTAATGCTACCATTCCAATCCCACTATCAAGAATTTCTCCTGCTTTCATTGTAAAACCACAAACTGAAATTGCATTTCCGAAATATTCATCTTCAAGCGGAGGAATCATCTTTGCTCTAACCCCAATCAGTAATCCATAAAGAACGTCTTGTTGTGGATCAAGTCTTTCGCAACGAACCACAGAACGCAAAACGTGAGATAATACCGCTTGAAGTGAAGAGATTGTAATATTCATATCAGTTTCTGCGTTTGCTTTTGATTTCAGTTCCGCGATTTTCTCCTTCGTGAAATGGAATACTCTTTCACCTAAGTTGTTTGGTTTGGAGGTTTGGATGAATTGATCAGTTGCGAAAGGGAAACGTATGGGAAGTTGATGAATGTCGTTTGGAAACCAGCGTTTAAGTGAAGGTGAAGGTGAAGGTGAAGGATGTTTGTTTAAAGAAACTCCTCGTGAGATTTGAGACCAAGAATTGATGAAATGCCAAAACGACTTTCCGTCTGACGCAAGGTGGTTGATTGTGAAACCTATGAAGAGACCGTCAAGTAACTCGGTTACTTGGACAGCAAGAATTGGGTGGGGAGTGTCTTCATAGTTTTTGACTCCGTTGAAGGGGAAGAAAGAGTACACAATGGGTGGTACAAAGTGGTTGTTGGGTCGAAGGATGTCGGAAACGGTAGTCTTTTCTGCTTTGGCGTGGACAAAGAGTGAACCAGCATTGTTGCAAAGGATGAAACATGATGATGAGGTGGTGTTGTTGTGTTCTTCTTTGTGTTGAGTGATTACAAGACGGCCGGCGAGGGGTGGAAAGAAGGAAAGAGTGGTGGAAAGGGTTTGTTTCAAATGATGGATTTGGTTTTTTGATGGATCAATGGTGTGGTGGAAAAGAAGGCCTTTTTGAATGGCTTCAAGTGGGAGGAATTGGAGATCCCATGGTGTTAAATGGATTTTCTGAAATTCAGTTGAGTTTCCATTGATGTTGTTGTCACTTGGTGCTTGAATTGTACTCGTGGAGATTACTCTCACAGAATCATCCATGGTGCTAACTAATCTATCTTCTGATGAAGCAGTTTGGAGAGAGTTTCTTCGTTGCTAACAATGTTAGGTAACTGGGCAGGTGGATGAGGGTGAGGATAAGAGAATTTGACACTAATAAATAAAGTAAAGTTGTCTTGGAATGAAAAGGGTGAGGTGAGGATAAGAGAATTTGACACTATAGTAAAGTTGTCTTGGAATGAAAAAGGGTGGGATCGGGAACAACTATGCTAACAATGTTATGTTAAGGATACTGTTTTTGTTATGTTCTTTTTTTTTATTAGTAGATAGAGACTAATATTATTTACATAGAAATGAGATCACTTTTAGATGAGAAAATCAATTGTTTTGGGCCGTTAATAAGGTCTAGAAAACAATAACGTCCGATGAGAGAGCAAGTGGGATATGGAATACAAACCCCTCTCTTTGTAAAGGAGACAATCATTTCTTTTATTTAAAGACTTCACAAGTATTTAAATCTTTTTTCATTTAAATGTCGAATTTAATTCTCATGTTAATTTGGACATTGAAGTGCTAACATTGCATGTTAACATTGCAGATCAATCCTTTTTTCACTGCATTGGAAGTTCTGAACCACCCACCACACCTAATTTTAAATTCATGTTTTATGATTAACTCTAGTTCTAACACGGAACATTGACGCCGTCTATGAGAATCGACTTTTGATTCATATGGTTTTTCAATATTAAACTTCTCTTGATTCAATCGAATCTCCTCCGTTAGAAATCCAGATCTCCTTCTATCGAAGATAAGATCTCCATTTCTTGATCACTTCTATCAAATTCAAACTCTTATCCTTTAAATCCTCCATCATATCTATCGACAATAGCGAAATGTAAAGCTACTCGCTCTACCATCTAATGGCAAGTCGTTGTTGCCGCTGAAATGGCCAAGAATGCTCCTCCTCCTCCTCAAAGGACGAACAATCAAGTCCTAGCAACTGCTCAATTTGTTCATATAACTCAAGATCATGTCCAACCTATGGAAAATAAGGGAGTTATTCAACCTCCTTCATTCCTTGGATCTACACCACAGCTCCACCATGGTAAATCTTCATTCAGACCTACACCCTTGTCTATAGTGACTGGGCAAGAAATACTTCACAAATTTCAACTCTTGCAGGCTAACCATGGCGTGCATGGAGATAACGACCTACTAAACAATGTCTACCACATTGTACAATAGTAGAAATCTTGGGCCATAGTGGAGAGACTATTCTGGATGGAAGAAAGCTTACACAATGCTAATTCGAAGAAGATCACCATACAAGAGGATGCTTTACACAAGAACCAAACTGCAATTTCTGAGCCAAGGAGATATAAAAAATTAGTCCAAAAGTCACCGAGGACACAAGCACTGCTCTACTTCCCATGATCTCGAAGGAATAAGAGGTATCCATACTCCACTCGAAGTCTGCCATTCTCGAAGAAGGGGGAAATATATGAGGAAGACGCTCCCGTCCAAACACGAAAGAAAAATACTTTATCCGTTTGCATCTTGGATAGCCAAAACCCAAAATTATTGGAGAAACCATTGAAAATTTAGAGATACAGTGGGAACAAAGATCTTGATGAGCATGTTGATCATGTAGATGATCATTTGGACTACCATCATGCCGACAAGGTTGTGAAGTGCATACTCTTTGCTCTAACCCTAATCAGATAAGTTGTAGCTTGTTTCAAATCCCTCCCGTATGGGAGTATTGACTCTTGGACTGACCTATATGAAGCTTTCATTGTCCGCTTCACATCTAAGAAGAGACGATTGACTACGATGGTTGTTCTTAGAGGAATCACACAGGGTAAGAAATAAACCATGCATTGATACATTGATCGTTTCACCAAAGAGATTGTGTTATTGGAGACTCAGATGAAAGCCTGAAGTGTTGGATCTTTGAAAAGGGCCGGAGACCAGATTGTGTGTTCCAAGAGAAGTTAGGGCACAAAATGTACCATAACCTGAAAGATTTTTTGAGTAGAGTGCAACCCTACATCAACTACAAAGAAAGACTATTGTTCGACGGGATTAAAAGGGCATCAGGAAGTGTGTAACCTAATTGACTATCAGAGAAAGTGTATAGCTTGGATTTTCGACCATAATAAGCTCAGTGTATGAAAGAGAGGTTCATAGAAAACTAAGTAAAATCTAGAGGTTCATAAGAGCATTTCGACATAATCCCTTCAACTCAAGAAGTCGAAGTTTCAAGCATAAAGCGGAAGTTGGGATTTAATATTTTCCTCAAGAATGATTGTTCAAGAATTTTGATGATAAACAGTGCAGTCTGGACTTTGAAGTAGAAGTTACCATGAGGCTTCAACATCAGCGGATTGGCGCAGAGAAGAGCAAAATAACTGTCTTTTGGTCTTATCCGAAAGAACACGTGGAGACAAATCCATAGATGAAAAACATGCAACGAAGACGTGTCAATTTCTAAAGAAAAAGCCATTGCAAACAATTAATCTTGTATTAGTATAAATAGGAGTTCTAGTATTAGGATTAGGGGTGTCAAATCATTACGAAAACTCACACCCTCAAATTATCCAAGTGTAAAATGAGAAACCAATAACATGAGAGAAATGTATGATCCTGAATACCATTGTCTTTACATTTTAAGCAATCTTACTTTACTTTAAATTGTCTTTTTCTTGCACTTTATTTCTACTTATTCACCTTACTTTTACCAAGATTTCGACCAAGTCGAAATCCTTTATTTTTTGTAAACATTACATTTTAAACTCAGTAGAAAACAAAATATATTTCACTTCACACCAAACATTCAAACAAAGTCACAAGAATTTATGCACATATATTCTAGGATTAACTAGTCGATCTGCAAGTAACCATTTTCAAAGGCTAGCGCTTGTTTACTAAATTTCACGGTAAACAAATTGGAACGCCCAGTGGGACCTTTTTATGCATTAGATGCATAAGTAGTTTCTTTACAAAAAGTGTGTCTTTGTTATTAAACTTTGCCAATTCTTCATTTGTGAAATGTTGTTGATTGTATGCACTTAAGGAGTGGTAAAAATTGTTAGAAATGACACGTCCACCGTTGATAAATACCCCACCTCCCCAAAACAACCATAAAAACATAGAAAGACAAGTGAACGTATCATTACAAGATGCGATAGGAACTCCGAATACAAGAGGAGAAAATCCTTCTAACACCAGTCAGATAAATTATCCGACAACCCCACAGGGAATGGTAGTCACGCTTCCAATAGTGTCTTGTGTCTATACTACTGTCAGGGCACCTCAAGGTGTGGTGGTTGTGGATCAAAGGCCTTTCTTTTTGTTGATTTTTAATGCCTTTAAACGATAGATAACAACCTTATGGTATGACAACGTCATTCATGGCAAGCCTTAAACATAGCGCATCCATGTTCGTAGATAATGCAATGGTTGTCACATCCCTTGGGAATCCCTATTTATCCCTAGGGGAAGTAGTGACATACCCTAGTCGAACAATGAAACTATTTAGAGGATCTAGTTACCCTCCCTATAGAATTCCAAATATGAACAAACATTTACTACAAAGAACTATGTAGCTTTGAATTTCTCATCGCACCCGGGGATACGTAGGAGCGAGATTTAACATCTTGTCAAGAACCCTAATAAAAAACCTAAATTTCCCTCCATTTATTTCTTTATGTAAATATTCTGTAATAATTATAAGAAATCAAATAACTTAAGCTAACACTCTTGTTCGCAAAACTTACTAAACGATTTCCGTTGAGTACAATAGGATGTACGGGGTGCAAATACCTTTTCTATTTATAATCGACTCCCGAACCTGAATTTGGTTGCAATGGCCATATTTTTGTTCTTTTAGGTTTTTATCTATGTTTTATCTTTTAAAAATAAATTTGGTGGCGACTCTTGTTGATTTCGAGCGTTCATACGCTCAGGTATTTTTCGTGCCACGACAATATCGCCCTGAAGAAAGAGAGGAAATAGACCAGAATCCCGTGTAAGATTGATTTAACAATTATAATCCTGCCTATAATGGATATATGCTTATTCTTCCAACTAAATATTACCACATGTGCCCACATATCCTCTCGTTTCGGGTTTGCTCCAATAAGAAGCCCTTGTGGATGCATTTCTCTTTTAGATGTTTTGTATGATGTCAAAACTAGGAGTTGATTTTGATTTTTTGTACATTGAACAGTATTTATGAGTATTTGTGTGCACCATTGCATTATAAGTCATTAGGATCCTTAAGAATCATATAGAACAAGTTTGGTTTGGTTATCCATTGGTATCATAAAGGAAAAATCAGTTTTTACACAAAATTCATGTGCATGTATCGACATATTCGTGCTTCGTGTCGGCACATATGCTGTTGTTTTTAAGAAAATAACTCTTTGGAAGTTTTATGGACTCATTCTCTTGTTCGTGTCGACACATGTCTTTAAACTACTCTATGTGTCGACACATACGAGCTTCATGTCGACTCATGTGCTGTTGTTTTTAAGCCTAAAAATCTATGGAAGTTTGTGTCGACTCATGACCTATTACATGTTGATACATGTGCTTGTTTCTGTCATGTATGTGTCTACACATCACTTGTACATGTCGACACATCTTGTACCAAACTTCAAAAATCAGTTCTCTTTTGTGTTTATAGGTCTTTCTTTTTCCTCCAAGTCTCACACCTATATATATATATATATATATCTCATACATGCATCATTTTAATTTTGATGAAACTATAAACACTTACTTGATTGCTCTTCATGTTTGAACTTGGCCTTATGCATACACAAAAACAACGTACACATAATCATTCATTGCTTGAGTGTCATCTAGACTCGGTTGATAACGCTCAATTTAGGTTGGTTGTAACCTAAGATTGGTTGAGAATCAATGGGGTTTCATCCAGAAAACTACGATAATTTTTACCTCAAGATGGTGTGGAGATTTGAGGTTTTTTAACAAGATTGTATCGATATTGGATTCGACCAAGTGAAGATCTTGAAGAATGGGGTGGTTTTGCAAGCCTAGTAGCGTGAGACGGTGAATCGTTGGGTAATCTTGGGTGACAACAAGCTTGAAATTGGATTCGGAAGAGTGAATATTGAAGACATTATTCCTTCAACTTAGTAGTGTGAGACAGTGGATCAATTGAAGTTGTTAGGGGCTTGATCTAACTCCATCAAGCCAAATGGAATTTTGTTGGATCATTATCAACCATTGGTGTTGTAGGGCTGCATTGCAACATTTCTCTTGTAAAGATACTTTTGCAAATAGTAGGAAATTGGTCTCAATTCCAAAAAGGAATTGGGGGAGACGTAGCCATAGCAAGGACAACTGGAGAACTTCCTAAACAAATCCTTGTTCCGTTCTCTCCTTCTCTCTCGCTCTCTATTTCTCTCTCTTTATCTCGCTCTCTATTTCTCTCTCTTAATTGTGCAAATTGATTAGGATAGAAATATTCTTTGAAAGTTTAAATAAATTTGTTGTTGTTCTTACAATCTCTTTGATTGTAAGAGGTTTTAACATCAACGAAATTCAAAGGAATTTCTGGAAATCAAAGTTCACACTAGGTGTTCGATAAATTGTCTAAGTAAGTTTTTACCTTCAATTTCATTGGAAATAGGTTACTTAATTGATTTTGTTTAAATTGTTGATTGAGAATTTTATGTGTTGCTCACTTATCTTCTTTACTTAACGTGAATTGGTTTAATGTATATCCGAGCTCCAATGATCATGTGCATTTAGACGACTTCGATCTAAGACACGACTTCCACTAACCATTATTTTTAATGTGATTGAAAATCTATTTTAAAACTAATATTTGAATTGGGTATATATTCACCCCCTCTAGATAAGTTGTCATCGTCTAACAAGTGGTATCAAGAGCCCAGTTCATTTCGTGTGCTTCCAATACAATTTTTAGAAAATGGCAAACGCACCTAAAGGGGAGTATAATAGAGCTCCTGTATTCATCGGTAAAAACTATGGTTACTGGAAGAATTGTATGTGCATTCATATCAATCCTTATAATAAGGGTGTATGAGGTGTCATCAAAAACGGTCCAAATGTTATTACTAAGGTCATTGATGGTGTCACCGTACCCAAACCGGAAACAACATGAAGTAAATATGAAAAGTAATTATGGAGTTACGATTGGAAGGCACGAAACATTCTCATGTCCTCCCTTAGAGTGGATGAGTTTTATCATGTCTCTCATTATGGAACCGCAAAATCTATGTGGAATTCATTAGAAGTTTCCCATGAGGAAACCAATAAAGTTAAACAAGCTTGAGTAAATACATTGTTTCAAGAGTTCGAGCTCTTTCGCATGAAGCATGGTGAAACCATTGCGGATATGCAAAAGAGATTTTCTTATCTCATTAACCATTTGAAATATAAACTTGGGAAACTGGTTCCCAATGGAATTACTACTAACAAAGTTTTGAGATGTCTTACTAGGGATTACCAACCAAAGGTCGCCACGATCAAGGAAGCCAACAATCTCACTACACTTGACCTCACTATATTGTTCGGTAAGATTGAAGAACATGAGAAAGAATTCAATTTCTTAGAAGAGTTTGAGAAGAATCATGATAAGAAGTTAAAGAAGCATGATAATCCTTTAAAGCAATAATACATTGTAGCATTAAGAACATGGTGAAATCAAAGTCTCAAGAGATAGTTTTAGGGTGTTTTTGAACCTAGTAATGTTAAAAGTATCATTCTTTGGATCATAAAGAACCAACTTCCTTGTCCAATCGTCTTGAATTTCGAGCAGCAGTCGGTGATCTTCAAAAACATACAAAGTATTGGACAAGATATAAGACTTAGTAGGATCTTGTATGAATGAAACAAAGAAGAGTTTAGTCCAAGAGTCATGAATTCCATATTCCTTCATGAGCCAAAAATGATGATGAGAAATTAAGCACAAGCAGTCCTTCAAGACAGACAATGTAAAGTAAACCGGACTGATATCAGCACGACTCTGGGGAAAAAGCTTTTGATAAGAGTCATTTTCCAAATGAAAAGAAAGAATGAAGATGGGACCTATGCGACGCCATTGAGTATGGGTAATCCAATTAAGTGTACCTCTTACGTATGTTCCAGATTGCTCATCAAAGACAGCACCAAAAGGAAATGTCTGAGTGGTTTTCCAACAATTGGTACCCAAAACATGAACTTTGAATTTAGTTGTGTCAAGCAAGTTAGATTTGGTGTAGTAAAGAACATCAACTTTGTAATTATGAGAAACTTGATCATAATCGAAGCCGAAGGTCATATAAACCTTGTTGTTAAGAATTTCACAGTTTAGAAAAAGGGGTAATTCCTTGAATATTCTAATAGAAGGATTCCACAATGCAACAAAAGCTTTAGGTTTATCGAAAAGACAAAGGATGTCTCCACAAGAAGCAGCGATATTGTTGAAAGGAAGGCGATGTTGTGTGAATTTAGTTGATAAAACTGATTCGAGTGGGTAAGAATTCTCAACGTGTGGTTTACTTTTGTATTTTGTGCAATGGAGGCGCCGAGTGGTTGAGAGGCTGAGGTGCTTTCTCGTGAAATTGAGACCAGAGGTTAGAGAATTCCAGGACTTGCACATGCATTGAAGCTGTACCAGAAGTTTAACAGACAATCCGCAGAAGATTTCAGCCACCAGATTGATAGGAAGATTAGGAAGTGAATCATTGTTGGTTTTCTCTGCTGTCGCCATCTCTGATTCTAACTCCGACACCAAATTAGGACTTCTTTTTAAACACAATCGTTTTTGGCAGTTTATTTTATTAGATAAATAGGTAGACATAATTTACTTTATTACTCTTCCTCTCGTCTCATTGTCTCTATTTCTTATTTATAAATAAAAAATCAAATTTCTTTCGTAATAACAATAAATGTACTAAATCAAATCTAAATCTTAATTTTAATTTTTTTTAAATAAACATGTCATCAAGACTTATATTTGATTCATTATTATCAAATTTCAATATTAAGTTAGAGAATCTTTCTTTAATAAAATCAAACCATTCTTTTAATATGACATTCTCAAAAAGAGTGGTTTGAATAAATAAGTGAAAACTAGTATTGTACCACCATTCGATTTATGATAACTATTTAGACCATTTTGTTGGCCTATCTGAACACACGCAATGCAAATATGTCCAAACAAACAATTCAAATATGTTTTCAAACAATTGCCAACCGTTCATATTCGTACACCAACATGGCTTGTTGTTTTTGTCCCAATGACGTTGGATCATAGATCAATGACAATGAGTAATTTATGGTTTATAAGCTTTAAGCTATGACAATCTTTATCTAAACAATTCTAAATTTGTCATAACATAATTGCATGATTTATATTGAAAAACTTTTTAACTTAGTCAATTTTTCATGTTTTTGCTTAGGTAAATATGTTTATCTACTCTATGCCAAAACAAATCTTGTGAAAGTAAAGAAGGTAAATTTATATTCCCTCTCTGATAAATCGATTTATCTAGTGTGAAATTTCAAATTTTTATAAGTTGTATGGAAGATAAATCGATTTTCCTCTTTAGGTACAAAATTTTACCTGTGCAAATTGTTTGAAATTTTTTGAACAATTGTGATACACTTTTCTTGCACACATTCATCATTCGTCTTCTAAATCAATGTCAATTGATCATGAAATTTTTTCCAAACATTATCATGGTTTGTAGATGTATTATGAGAAATATAAAAATAGAATTTTAACTTAATTGCAATTCTGATTCCTCTATTTTCTTTTGTTTTTTTAGTTTTGATTTCTCTATTTTAAAATTTGATTTAATTGATCCTCATATTTCAATTTTTTTGAGAAATTAATCTCTAACTTCATTTGAGTCTCATTTTTTTATGATGTAGCAATTAAAGTGATGACATGGTAGAGATTATGTGACATAATTGAAACTCCATCTTATTTATAATTATTTTTTATTTTAGTAATAATATAATTATAATATTTATTCCAAAAAAAAACTCAAATTAAATTATAATAAACTTTAATTTTTTTTAAAACAATAAATTATTTAAATTTTATATATACTTTTTTTTATAAAATAAAATATATTTTTAAATTATTTAATATAAATTATTACGGGATGTCTTCATTAACACAAGGAATAAGGTAGCATGTGATATAATTATATATTAATAAGTATTGTACATGTTAATTAGTACTGATATAAACATATAAAAGTTAAAGTATTTGAAAAAATCAACTGCACTCTTCTGATAAAATGTTTAAACTTTTCTGATTTCAGGGTTATAAGTTAAAGTATCTGAAAAATCAACTTTACCTCTACAAATTATTGAAATTCTTTAAATCATTGTCATACCTTTTCTTTGCACACATTCATCATACCTCTTCCAAATCAATGTCAATTGATCATGAATGTTTTTCTAAACATTGTCATGGTTTGTAGATGTATCATGAGAATTACAAAATTAGAATTTTTTATGAATCAAAATCACCTATTTCAAATGTTTTAAAATAATTTTTATTGGTTTTCGAGTGTTCAATAAAAAATGACTTATAAACATTTACTGTAATATTTTTATACATTGAGAAAAATTCCATAAATTTTTGAGTACTTAATATTTATATTTTCATGAATTGTTCATTTAAAGAGAAGATTAAATTTTCAATATATTGGAAAACATTCAATCATTATGTATTCATTTTTATCTGTTTGTTGTATTTTCATTCACCAAGTATCTGGTGATCTTATCTGAAAGGAAAATGGTTGTACTCTCTACAGGGGTTTTTAAATAGGAAGAGTTGTCTTTCTATATTTTGGAAATGTCCTTTGAGTCGGGGTGATTCAAAGTCCATCATATATGTTGGTGTGGCTGGAAATCAATGAAGTAGTTTGCTTCATTGTTGTTGTTAGAATATTGTAGGAGAAGTCTTGGTGTGAGATTTGTACAAAGATATAACAATAGTGAAAATTTCTCATGGAGTGTGAGGGAACTAGATGTACTCTTGGTTGATGAGAGGAACTAGTATACATCTTTGTGTTCTTTATTTTTCTGCATTTTACTTCATAAGTTCATCAATATATTTTCGGAAAAATAAGAACCTAAGTAAGATATTTAAAAAAACGAGAAATATCTGAAAAATATAATTCACCCCTCTCTCTTATTACACTCTATACTTACAAGGAGTGCGAGGAAGTTGAGAAGAGAAGATGTATCATATTCTTATGAAGGGAGTTACCTCCCTTGGATCATCACCCTCAATAACCTGGGCCCGCTTTGGAGAGCCCTCGTCCCGAGTGGATTGTTATTCCTCATCTCGCGCCCTCTTTATTGAAACAGGGGGTATGATTGATGCAACACCTGAGGCTAATGGGGGCGGGGAGTGGTCATTGGGGTGAGTGATGTAACACCCGTTAATTTAATTAATTATTTAATAATTACGGATTAATGGTTGAAAATGTTGTTGAAATTGTTGAAGTTGCGAAATTTCGAGAAATGTTGATTTAAGTTGCTAAGTTGTTATTTGGCTGTTATTTAATTGATTGGTTGATTAATATTAGCAATAATATTAATATAGATATTATAATAATATAAGGTTTATTAGTTGGACTCATTATTTGGCTGTATGGAGTAATAGGTGGAGTGTGAAAGTTAGGCCCAATAAGAATATTAATAATTATAAGGTTAAGCTAATTATGAGGATTAAGTTAATTAGAAGGAATAAGGAAAAAAGTCTTGAGTATTTTGTGGGAACATGGAAGTTGCAAAGTTGCGGAGAAGAGGAAAAGCTAGGTGTTGAATAAGAATGTTATATAGCGGTCTCCAATTCAAGGTAAGGGTGGGGTTCTGACTCTATAATGAGAATTATGATGAATAGTATGTGGGAATTGGATTGTGTAAAATCATTGTTGTATGTATATTTGTTGTGGTTGGTTGTTTCTGAAATTTATCAAATTTCTATGAATATGTTGCTGAGAATTGATTTGTGTTGATTTAATTGTCATGTTGATCTGGTTCCATGTTATTTGTTCTAGAAAATTGTGTTTCTGTGAAAATTGATGTTGTTGTAACGATATATATTGTTCTGATGTGAGACTGTTAATCGAATGCAGTCTGGGCAAGTAACAGAAAGGCACTGAAGAAATACACGTGAAGGAGGTGTGCCGAAGGGCACACGAATGGTGACGGACGACACAAAATTGGGAGTGCCGAGTGGCACACACAACAAGCCGCATGGCATGTGTTGTTGATGGAGGGTGTCGACTGACACATGCTTAAGAGAGGGGGTGTGCCGAATGGCACACCTTGGTGAGGAGGGGCACGCTGTATTTTAGTGTTTTAATTGATTTGTTTTGTCATTAGGCGCTACTGTAGCGGATTCACACATATATACCCATTTGATAACACTAGTAGGTAGTTAGTAATCATTAATATATTAATCAAGTTAGTTGGGCAGAGTTAGTAAATTTAGCAAAAGACATTAGTAACTATTAAACATAATTTAATAGTAGTACTAGTGATGATTTAGCAGAGACAATTGTTAGTTACAGAGGTAATATTAATTAATTAGTAGAATAGTAGAATGGAAATAAAATGACAGAAGGAGAATACAGTGGTAGGTAGTATATTTTGTAAGTGAATTATAGGAAGCAAATGGCACTAATTTGGCAGGGAGCCATTAGTAGCGGTATGAATGGAAAATCGTAGTACCGAATAAAATAATATTAGTAACTAGTAGTAAACTAATAAGTGAGTAACATAATTAGTATTATGGACTAGCAGGAATACTTGTGCTAATAGTATCAGTCTGTAATTAAGAGCATTAGTACATAGTATTAATAATAGAACTTTGGAAAAATGCTCATTTTGGTCTCTTAACTATAGGTCATAGTTCACTTTGGTCCCTTATCTTTTTTTTTTGTGCCAAAGTGGTCCCTTAAGTTTCAAAATGTAACCATGTTAGTCCTTCCATTAGTGAAATTCAAAAATCAGACTCCAAGTGGCAGTTGTCATGCTTGAAGTGGCTTGTTGGAGGCAACGTGGCAGAGAATAAAGACAAAATCTCCTAAAGTTGAAGATAGCATATGCATGTTCTGTTTTCCCAAAACGAAAGCCAAAGGAAAGAGGAAGAGGCTTGCGAAGAGGCTTGTGAAGGTGATTCCGTAGGTGATTCCAGGTATGTTAATCTTGTTTTGTCTTTGTTTCTGGATATTTGAAATGGGGTTTCTGAGATTTAGGTTTAATGGATGAATTTATGAAACTCATAATTCACCACAGTGGTGAGTTCGTTGATCAAGAGCTTAGTATCTATGAAGGAAGCCTGGTATCTGAATTGTCAGCAGATGTTGATAGGTGGAGTTGCTTTGAGTTAGTTGATGTATTCAAAGACTTAAGTTATACGGACAATGTAGAGAAAATGTATTACAAAGACCCACAATTTGGGATGAGTGAACTAGTTGATGACAAATGTGCCCTAGAAAATGCAGACCTATACAAGGTACATCATGTTATTCATGTTTACATTCAACACAATTTGTCTTAACCTGAGTATTTTGATGGTCATGTTTAGGAGCCTGAGAATATTGTAGATGAGATGAAGGAGTTGCTTAGCAAGCTACATGATGGCATTGATGGAAAGTTAAAGGAGACTGTTGTTAGTGTGGATGAAGTTAATGATGGATTGAATGATCCAAGTGTTATTGTGGAACAAAGAAATGT